AAAATTCTCCAGGTATTGAATTCCATAGTAAACCGGCAGCACTTGGGTTCCCCTGACACTTTGCACAGTTGTGTTCACAGACTTCAAAAATAATTCCAGACATAGAAACGTATATTATTTAAGGGTAAAAATGTTACATTGGTATGATGTTGTTTCACTGCAAGGAGTTACAATCAATTGTAAAGTATGAAAATATAGGAAATGCCTTCCCTGGGAATTGTCTTACATTACAGTGCAATGTGAAATGCATCTTTCTGCATAGGAGTCACAAAATAAGGAATGAATCTGACAGTGACTAATAGATCTAAACGACTTACATCTCTGTAGACTGCAGTTTGCAGCCCATCCTGGATCGAGGATGGCTATAGATCTAACACATTGCTAGCATGAATGGTTCCAAGCAAATGACCTTGTGTTGCTGCCCCTTATTCCAAGTTTGAATAGGAAAAGAAATCAGGAAGGCAGTTCCTTTTCATTTTGTTTTATCATGTCTTTTGGAATTCTGGCAGGTCATTTTTTTGTTTCCTTTTTAAGCTCACCTCTATGATCTTTGCAGCACGAGATAGAATTTATAATGATAAAATAAATAGTGTGCCCTTCATTTCTTTACAAGGGAATGGACAGGAATATTGTAGGAAAATGCCAAAAGGGATGTGCTTTATGGAGTTGTTGTTTAGTCATTTCTAACTCTTTGTGACGCCATGGACCAGAGCACGCCAGGCCCTCCTATCTTCCACTGCCTCCCGGTGTTGGGTCAAATTCATGTCGGTCGCTTCGATGACACTGTCCAACCATCTCTTCCTCTGTCGTCCCCTTCTCCTCTTGCCTTCACCCTTTCCCAACATCAGGGTCTTTTCCAGGGAGTCTTCTCATGAGATGGCCAAAGTATTGGAGTCTCAGCTTCAGGATCTGTCCTTCCAGTGAGCACTCAGGGTTGATTTCCTTTAGACTGGATAGGTTTGTTCTCCTTGCAGTCCAGGGGACTCTCAAGAACTTCCTCCAGGACCACAATTCCAAAGCATCCATTCTTCTGCAGTCAGCTTTCTTTATAGTCCAGCTCTCACTTCCATACATCGCTACAGGAAAAAGCATAGCTTTCACTATGCGGACTTTTGTTGGCAAAGTGAGGTCTCTGCTTTTTAAGATGCTGTCAAGGTTTGTAATTGCTTTCCTCCTAAGAAGCAGGCGTCTTTTAATTTTGTGGCAGCTGTCACCATCTGCAGTGATCATGGAGCCCAAGAAAGTAAAATCTGTCGCTGACTCCATAGCTTCTCCTTCTATTTGCCATGAGGTGATGGGACCAGTTGCCATGATCTTATTTTTTTGATGTTGAATTTCAGGCACTCTCCTCTTTCACCTTCATTAAGAGGTTCTTTAATTCCTCCTCTCTGCCATCAGAGTGGTCCTTTATGGAGTGAAGAAATGGTAATCAGAGAAAGGGTTAAATGCCATGTATCCTGTAATTAGATTTTACAACCTGTCCAGGCTGCTTTCAATAAAAACAACAGCCACCAAAATAACCCAGTTTGGGGGAGTCTTTCATGAATCTTCTATGCTGTGTGTATGTAGCCAGCCTTTTCAGAATTAAACTCACAATTCCTTCTCCACCCTGCTAAATTTTGGTAGGTAAAATCTGGTATTTGCAAAATTTTAGGACTTCCCTGCTTCTCCGGCCCTCACGTTCTTCAGTACTGCCTGGCCAGATGAAGAGTTCTCCATGAGATTTTATTTTTCTTTTTTTTTAACTTTAGAGATACATTTGGTCCTCTTGGCATTGCTTCCAGGTCCATTTTGCTTTTATTTAAAATAGGGAGATTTGTTTAGCATTGTTGCAACCACTATGTGGAATCCTTTGAAATTTAGCATATACTGTACAGTACTAACAACATTCTGTTGCCGATGCATGGAAAATTTACCTATTTTTGCAAGGTTTTTGTTTTTGCAAGAAAAAGAAACTTACCAATTTTTGCAAGCTTCTCTGTATAGTCCAAACTACTAACAAATTCATAGATGGTATAAATATTTTATGTTGATTTTACCTATGGTTTGTTTTATTATTCCTGGAGATTGCTTTGAAATGTTCAGATTTAAGCAATTTATTTGTACATACACATGCACGGCTGGAATCTAGTAGTATGTCACAACTAGAGTAGGTCCATTAAATAAATGGAACTTAGAACAGTGTTGACTCACTGAATTCCCACTGATTCAATGGATCTACTTTAGTGGTTTCTTACTTTCAGTTCATATTTGTATAAAGTCTTCCCTCCAGTAAGGTCAGGTTGGCATGCATGGCTCTCTTCCCCCATACATTTCTCTTACAATAATTCAGTGCCTTTCCATTGGACTATTTCAGTGATGTGGAGAGGGTGATTTGCTGATTGGGTAACAGCCTATCCTCCATATCATTTTACCCAGGCTTCATGCTCTGAACACTCCAGCTTCGCGTACAGCGTCAAAGTCCTCCATATAGAGCATGTTACCATAGTTTCTCTAGACTGAAGGATGACTATGAGAGCAGGGAGAGAAAGTGAGTGGACCATGACCAATTCACTAAATTCTCCATTCAGAACTAAGTACTACACACCATTAGTGTGACTATTACTGGTATTTGTGAGTTCAAAATGCAAAATTGCAAATAGTTTCTTCTTCTAATCAATGTTTGACAATACTGTAATTCCTCCCCAACCAACCCCATGAACATATGAGGATTTCAGAAACCGTTTCAAAAGAAAGAATGACAGCAGTGGGGAAGATAAAAGTTTGCTGCATACCCACCATGTTTCACAGTTAAATACTTGGCTATGTAATTGGAGGCTCTTCTGAGATCATTTGACCTCCAAGAGCTGAAATTATCTTATCATGAAAAAGTTAGCATTCACATGGAAGCACAGGTGGAAGATGGCCTGAGAGGGATCGAAGCCCCTTTTGCTCTGCAATTTTGAGGCAGTCTCCCTCCCTTGCGTGAACCACACACCATCTCTTTGTAGAAGAGTGGTTCCCAACTCCCCAGAGGTTCTTGGACTAAAACTCCCATAAGTCTTCACCACTAGCTGCACTACCAGGTTTGTGGGAGTTGTAGTCCAAGAACCTCTGGGGACCCAAGATTGGGAAGTACTGCTATAGAAGAAAAATAATCATCATCTCCAAGTTGCAAGGGATCTATGTGATCATTGTGCTCTAGTCCATGGGGTCACGGAGAGTCGGGCATGATTAAACAACAACAAATGTGATTATCAAGAGCAGCCCCTATTAAGGAAGCACAAGAATTGAACACCCATCCTCTGTCACCTCACCGAGACTTAAACCTTTTGCTGTAATGTATTCGTGAAGGCTTTCACGGCTGGGATCTAATGGTTGTTGTGAGTTTTTCAGGCTCTTTGGCCATGTTCACTCCCAAACAAACTGCACCAGAGCACAGAGTGCTGTCCTCTGAAGATGCCGGCCAGAGACTGACGAAACATTAGGAAGAACCTTCGGAACACGGCCAAAGAGCCCAAGAAACCCACAACAACCATTTGCTGTAATTTTATTTTCTAAATCATATTCTGTAAACACACCCTTACTAGATTCTTGCTATGGTGGGATCAAACCCTGAGGGACTTGTGGGTGACCATTACTAGTCCATTTTGATTCAAGAAGACCTGATGTTTAGGAGGTTACTTCACTGGAGATTTTTTTACCTCAGCAAATATTTTTATTAAATAATAATAATGCGACTTTTAGATTTGTCATCATTTTCATATCTGGATGTTGCAACCACCTGCAAGCCCCCTTTGAGTGCCTCTAAACTAAAGGGAGAAAGGTGGTTTGAATATAAATAAAATAAAGTAAAAGAGACTGCTAGGTGAGGTAAAGAAAGCAGAGCTATCCATAGGACAACGGGCTACACTCTCTGGTACGCTAGTCTCTGTTTGGGTGTGAACGTTTCTTTAAAGTTTGATTTGGACCCTTATGAGGCGTTTCGTGGTTCCTGAGGTGCTTTCAACGGCTCCCCCCCTCCCTCCTGCCGCGGGAGCGCGCGCCAAAACATTCGAACCCACCCACCGCCTCGCCTCGCCGAGGCCGCGTCACGCCCCCTAACGGCCACCACGCAGAGCAAGCCCCTCCCTCCGCAGACATTTGAGGGCGGAAAGAGGAGGAGGAGGAGGGATAAACCAGCCAATCAGGCACGGCGGAAGACCCAATAGGTAACAAAGGTAGGCGGGCTCTGAGAACACCGAGCGAGGAAGCTCGGACGGCGCCTTTCTGTCTTTTTTAGCTTCTGGTCGAGGGCGCTGGGAGGGGAAAGGAGGAGAGCAAGCCCCTCCCTCCGCAGACATTTGAGGGCGGAAAGAGGAGGAGGAGGAGGGATAAACCAGCCAATCAGGCACGGCGGAAGACCCAATAGGTAACAAAGGTAGGCGGGCTCTGAGAACACCGAGCGAGGAAGCTCGGACGGCGCCTTTCTGTCTTTTTTAGCTTCTGGTCGAGGGCGCTGGGAGGGGAAAGGAGGCGTGGCTTTCCGGCGGCTGTGGGCGTGGCTCGGAGTGGCCGATGCTTTAAAAGCGAGGTGCGTCGCTCTTCGGACGCTTAGTCGCAGATCGGAGGCAACGAGAGGAGTTGTGGTTTTGGGAGTGTCGCCGCCGCTCCTGCTAGCGCTTAGGATGCGCGGGTTCGGGGAAGGCGTGCGTGTGTGATTCATTTTTTTTTCTTCTTCTTGCCCCTGGAGGCGCCCAGCTTGGAGGGCGTAACAGGTGGTTGCATATTCTTTCCCCTTCCTCCCCTGATCCTTTTTTCTTAAGATTTTTATCTTTATTGATTTTAAATTTTTTTTTGGCTCGCCCTGGTTGCTTCTGCAAACGAGGGTTAATATATTTGCTGGGCGGCGGCGGCGGCGGCTGCAACGCCGGGCTGCCTCTATTTCTCTCCCCCCCCGGATTCTGTTTTTTTTT